AGCTTGCATGGATTAAAATTTAATTTTAATGTTTTTTTTTTTTTTTCACCAAAAGATATTATTATTTTTCAAATATGATCAATTTGTATATTATATTTTATATTCATTCATCTATTTATATTGTATAATTATTTTTTAATATAAATGGAAAATATTTTTTATATTATATTTTTTAATTTCGATGGAAAACATTTATTATATTCTATTATTTTATTTCATATTATATCAGCTTTCATCATTATTTACTTGTCAAATGTCTGCTCTAGCACCTTTGCTCAAGTATGCATTGAAGTCGTATAGAAATCGGAACAAATATAAATTCCATACGCATACAACAAATACAAATTCAAAAGGAAATTTCGAAATGTTGATTTTCATAGGCATTTTAGTGTTGTTGCCACTGGCTCGCGGCTTTCTCATTACAGTGGATGCCCATGAGACGGCCTGTTTCTTTGATCGCGCACAGGTGAAGGACAAGGTCGCGATTAGCTTTGAGGTGATGGAGGGCGGCTTCAAGGACATTGCCGTGGAGATTCTGGCGCCAGACAATGAGATGCTCTACCATGCCGAGGCCGAGACGAGTGGCAAATATACGTTTGCGGCCAACAAGGATGGCCAATACACATTGTGCTTCGACAACTCGAAGTCGACGCTGACTCCGAAGGTTCTGATGTTTCACTACACCGTTGTCAAGGACATTGGCCACTACATCGATCCGCACAAGCGCACCGACGACGTTGTCGAGCAGTCGGTGCTGCAGGACTACATCAATGAGCTGTCCAGCCAGATAATTGTCGTGCAGCACGAGCAGGAGTACATGCATGCACGCTACAAAGGACATCTCGAGCTCAGCGCCAATGTGCACTTTCGCCTGGTGGCCTGGTCGATCTTTGGGCCCTCGCTACTGCTGGGCATGACCGTCATTGAGATCTACTATCTGAAGCGTTTCTTTGAGGTCAAGCGTGTGGTATGAACATGAGTTTCCTTTTCGCTATAGAATATGTTGTAATGTTCAATTAAATCATGTTCTATTTTATGAAAAAGTTTTGATGGGTATGATTCCTTAAGAGAAAGAGAGATAGAGAGAGACAGAGATAGAGAGATATAACGTTATATAGAAAGAGTTTGAGTGAGAGGGAAACCAATATATGAAGAGACAGACAGAGAAAAACAAGAAAGAGAAGGAAACTGATTGAAAGGAGAGAGAAAGAAGCAGAGACAGAGAGAGATGGCAAGCCATAGAGGGAGACGTCAAGCTATTCAGAAAAAGATAGTGACAGAGTGTGGGAGAGAATGAGAGAGGTAGAGGCAGGAAGAGACGGACAGAGACAGGGAGAGAGAAGGAGATGGAGAGGCAGAGAGACAGAGAAAGATAGGAAGATATATAGAGATAGAGAGATATAGAGATAGAAGGAGAGAGGGCCAGAGAGAGTAGGAGAAAGGGAGTGGCTGAAGGTGAAAGAAGGGGAGAGAGAAAGAGAAAAATATGCAGAGCGAGAGCATCAGCAAATAAGAGAAAGATAGAGACATAGAGAGATATAAAGAGATGGCTAAAGCTAAATAAATAGTGAAACGACGAGAGTTAGGGACAGAAGTTGAGACAAGGTCAGCCACGTCTGCTTCCCAGAAGTCTATAATACCCCACTTTCAATCCATTTTCAATGAGTATCACAAGTTCCTCAATTAATCATATTTCAGATTAGCCACTGCCCAGTCGCTCGCACCTCCTTTATTAGTCACCCACACAAGCAAGGGAAACTTTGATATTTAACACAAGCCAATTGACTTGGGAAATATTAAACGTATCAATGAATCACACAGACATACACACACACACACACATATACATATATGATAGAGTGTTCCGCTGCTGGTCTATGCTCATCTTTCAGCCACAATTTGTTGCACATTTCATGCTTCACAAGTCATAAAACTTTCAAGCAATACACACACACACACACACACGCACACACACGCACACTCTCTGGCAGTCATGCATATGAGGAATAGCATAAAGTATCTGCAAAGTTGGCGCTCAAGTATCCATAAAGTTCACTTCACCTATAAACTGTGCCCACATTGGATTAGCACAAATTTATGGCAGCTCCCAGTTGCCACTCGCCAGCTCCACTTACCCCGCCTCCGCCTCCACCCCCGCACCAGCCACTGGCAATAACAATGCGTAAAGCAACAACAAACTTATCATATTCATTCACAAGTTTCTTTCTTCTCTCAGTTTTTCTCTTTATTTTTTTTTTCATCTCTGACACCAGATTACTAACTGGGATATATTTCCAGTGGCTGGGAAAACTCATGGATGGGAAAGTTTTTGTCTCTTATTTACGACAATGTCGCGTCAAGTTTTTTATATATACAAAACAAGTAAGTTTTTTCGGCAAGTTTCTCTCTCTCTCTCTCTCCCTCTATTTTGTTGCATAATAAAATGAAGCATGTTGCTAGCTGAATTGGATTGGCAGCACTCGGCCCGAGTCGAGTCGCGGCATCTGCTCATCCGGTCATGGAGTCAACTTCAAAGCCGGAGAAAGAAGGCCACACTATTGCTCCCCAGCGTGAAATGAAAGCAAAAGTTCATGCTGATCCAAGCAGCGGCGACAGCTGTGCGACGGCTTGGCTAACAAGCGGCAGCCAGTCCTGGCCATGGCCAGAGCTGCGAGCCATGCGTAAAAAGGCGCGACAGCAGCCGGATGAAGATGCTGAATGAGATGGAGTGGAGACCTATAGCCAAAAAAAGACAAAAAGCGGCAGCTCACGCAATCTGGTGGAAAGCCAGAGATATGCTAGATGGGAGCATATTTGACAATATTGAATGTTAACAGGAAGAACAGCAGATGCCTATGGGTGTGATTGGGGAGGGAGATGGAGGAGAGCAAGCGAGGGAGTGTGAGAGCGAGTGATAAAGGCAAACAGAAATGATCAGAGAGAGAGAGAGAGAGAGAGAGAGAGAGAGAGATCGAAAAGAGAGAAAGAGAGCGAGGAGTGTGTATAATAGAGATAGAAAGAAAGCGCTAGAAAAAAGAGAGAGATAGAAATATTGAGAAACAAATTAAAAGAGTGAGAGCGTCAGCGGGAGAGAGATGAAAATAGAGAGAGAGAGAGAGAGAGAGAGATGTAAATATTAGGAGTAAATGGAATCGGGAAAGAGTGTGACAACGAGAGGGAGATGGAAATAGAGAGAGAGAAAGAGAGAGAGAGCGAGAGAGAGACGGAGGGAGAGAGTGACATAGAGATAAAGATAATATAGAGAAGGAAAGAGTGACAGTCAGAGCAAGAAAAAGAGAGAGAGATAGAGGAAAGGAGAGAGAGAGACAGAGGAAGAGGAAAAGGGACAGAGAGAGAGAGAGAGGGAGAGAGACAATGTTAAAAATACAGATATAAACACTACTGGGAAGGGAGAGTCATATAGACAATGAGGCAGGAAATACATGTAGAGAATAAATAGTACAAAACCGAAGCAAACATCTATGGAAAGAGAGAGATAAAGACAGTAGTTAGTTAGCTCAATATGCTGGCCAGATTTATATAAAATAATCTTCTCAACTAGAGGCAGACAATAGCAGCATGAAACACATTAGCACATTAATAAATTTGTCTGCTCGCATTTATCTTAGGCAAAACATGTGAAGGCTTTATCTAGTTACATATTGAAGATGAAGATGGGACACAGAGGTCCATTTGGCATATTGCAAGCCCAATCTGTGAGATGAATAGTTAGGCTAGGTTTCTCTTTATGGATACCAAGTTGAATTCGATATAAATTTGTATGTATGTATTTTATATGTTTCTCTATATTTATTTACATATATTTAAACATGAATTTATTTATATTCTCCCATCAATCCCATCGAAAATATTGATTAGCACACTTTTCGCCATGTTATCTCTTGTTGAAAAGCTGTTCATCATTGTGATTAGCTGCTGCTGCTGCTGCACGGCACTCGACAGCGCCTGGCCTTAATTATGTTTTGTATACTTCAGCGATGTTCAGCTAATTGCCATGCATTGCATTGGCTGTAAACAAGGTTTCCGCAGGCAACAGCAGGAGTAGCAGGAGTAGAAGCAGCAGGAGCAGGAGCAGCTGTTGTTGCTGCTGCTGCTGCTGCTGCAATTCAATTTTCTATTATGTCAGCGAGTTGGAAGCAATGCAATGTTAATAAAATATACCCCGCTCTGCACCCTCCCCCATTCTTGTCCATACTTAATATCAAAGGCAAACTCAAGACGTCAGCGGCAGCTCGCTTCAGTGGGGAGCGGGGCAAAGAGCAACAGCGTGTATACGCAACGTGCTGCGCCTTTTATGCTGACACACACACACACACACACACACAGTGAGAGCGCACAACAATGGCCAATATATCCATGTGTGTGTGTGTGTGTGTGTGTGCGACATTGGGAGCCACTGTTATTTGACATTTATTTGCCATTTCCACCCAACCACAATGGCGTTTGCCGCCAGCGCCAGCCCACAAATAAGAACAAGATGATGTAGAGTAAGAGTAAGAGGAAGAGTGAGAAGGGGAAGCAGCAGCTGTACTTACCTCGCTTCTGTGGCATCGTCGAGGGCGACGGCGTTGACTGTGTCGCTGCCAACAGCTGCAGCAGCAGCAACAGCCCAAAGAGCAGCCCGAAGCCTGCCGCAGCTGCTCCTCTATTGTTCTGCCCCAGCGCTGGCCGGGCGACTGTTGATCCACGCATCCAACTGGGATTCGCTTGTTGATTCTGTTTCAGTTTCGGTTTCGATTTCGATTTCGATTTTGGATTTGGTTTCGGTTTTTGCAGCTGATTTCGATACAAAGCGCCTTTGCTCTCGCTCATTTTGCACGCCAAACACTTTTTTCACTTGATTAATATTTCCTCAATATATATTAATATATATAGATA